TTCAAGCTCCCAGTCCTAGTTACAAAAAGCAGGCTACCTGTACAAAGCACACTGGGATTAGTGTTAAAATTAGTTTCTGCACAAAACCATATTCCTACATATTTGTAGTTAAAAGGAGATATAAGGAAGGAAAAAATGCCACACTTAATAAATACTTAATTGTAGATAACCAAATTGCATCCTGCACATTGCTTACAGGTAACAATAAGGGTAAAAGACATTCATTATGGCTGGTGCATGTAAAGCAAATTCAGTCTGTTTAGTCATGTTTAACAGACCATTTCAATATTCTTTCACTGACTTAGTAAGACATAGGTACATATTTTTAAAGTTTTGCCAATTAGCTGTGGATCTAAGCATAGGCTTCACTGTTCTGCTTATCTGCTGCCCCAAAAATGTCTCTAATGCACTGGTGCAGTTCAAAAAAAACAAAAGGAGTTCAGTTCAAAGGACAGAATGACCTGGATAACAGAGAAGAAAATTGTATAAGCCTCCCCTGCCCCTGAATTCTAAATACTGGATCTCAAAGGGACACTGTAGCATTAAAGAGGCTAGAGAAAAAGGTGACTTGACTTTTTGTACAAAGACTGAAAAGACCAAGACTGTCAAGCAACACAGAGCTTAATTATAATATAAGGCTCTCCATCTCCTGCCCACAGCATAAGTGGACTGTGTAACACACCAATTCAGGACACAAGAACTAAAAATAAAGCATGAGTCAGAAGAGGCAGTGAAGATTAACACAGATAACAAGAATATCTGGTTATAGTAGTTACTACAACAAATTCTAGAAGGAATAGAAAGCCTCAAAGTTTAGGGTTTAACCCCATCTCTAAGCTTTAAAGATCAAAATCAAATTTTAACAGGGACAGATTACTAAAGCTCTTTCTTCCTGAAGCCTACAGTGCCAGCCACTCTCTGAAGCAAACTATTGGACAAGGTGTGACTCAATTCCTATTTTTCAGTCAAGTTACCTCAGTATGAAAGTTTTATGAAAAACAGCAGTGATATAGATTTTCTATTTCTTAACTAGTTGCATTGATTATTTAAAAAAAAATAATAATTCAAGCACATAAACAATGGATATGTTTTAAAACTCTGGGGTTTTCACCAGTTGTGCACCAATTTTCACATGCAGGTTTTTTGTTTGTGTTTTAGTGTTGATTTGTTACTAAAATCCCCACAATAACATATAGAACCAGGTTGCATAAGCACAGTCAAAAAAAATGCCACAGCTAATATGCAACATGCTCCTGTTTTTCATCTATTACTGTAAACACAAAAAACAAAAGCTTTGTCATCACACAACCTTTCCCCAAGAGCAACAAAAGGATATTTTCAATGTTTCTGCGTAAATTTTCATTGAGTTTTGCTTCGAGTTCACCAAGTTCTTCTTCTGCCTTTCTCACATCTTTCTGCAATTCAAGCCGAGATTTCCTTGTGTCGTAATAACCTCCAGTCAAAGCACCACGATGGCTGACTTGATCACCTAAGAACGTTAACAGAATGAGACTATAAACTGAACACTGTATGCTCTCCATAATGTTCAGAGCAGTTTCTACAACACAATTTAGCAGATTAACGAGCATTTCAACTAACCTACAGACGTGCTGCATCAGTATCAGGAATCAGGTATGTATGTTTACAGTAATTTGGGAAATGTTTATTTCTGTATTCAATTTCAAGTGAATTTCTTTTCTCAAGACCAACACAGACTGCTATGATCTCCTTTAAGCATGAGCTTTTTTTTATTTTAATTAACTTCTGAAACCATGCAGCTTGAAGGAAAAAAATACTTATTTTAAGGGAAACTTGCAAATGCCTAGCACTACCAGTTTAAAAAATAACCAAAACACCTCAGATGATCCGTGAGGGAGAAAACGAGAGGCTGAGTAATTAGCAGCATCTGTGGCTTGTAGAGTATGCTGTTACTGAAAAATGAATAATTTTCTCCTCAGACATCCTTAAGACTTTTTTCAGATTGACTTTAAGAGACAAAAAGACAACAGTAAGCCTGCAGGGAATCTGCCCTTCAAGAACAGGCAATTAACAATATAGATTATTTCAGAGAGCATCACATGTAAGTGTGTCTGGTACGCAGAAGAATTCACCTTGCATTCATCAGTAATTAAGGCCATACATTCACACCCTAAACACTAGTTTAAGTTTGTGGAAAACACCATAAATACTCCAGGAAAACAAATGCCTGTTAAACTGGATAAAACAAGTTGGATTAATACAAACCTAATCTGCTTTACAATTCTCAGGGTGGAGAGATACATAGCTACTAACTTTTAGATCATAAGAAATTTCAGTGGCTTGTAAAAACATATCTTTAAGCACTTTAAGTAAAGTGCAACCTCGTACATCTCAGTCAAGTATATTATTATTTAAAGTAAAGTTGTTTTGACAACACTAACAGACCACGTTTAATGAGCCTCACATTCCAGGGATCCCATTTTTACAATAAATAATTTATAAAATTGCAATATTTACCTTCCAGGGTAATACAATCCATAGTGAAAGCTCTGGCCAGCTGGGTAGACACTTCCATGCTACGACAAATTAGAGTCTTTCCAAAAACATGCTTGAAAGCTTTGTCAAATCTTGGATTGTATCTCAGCTTACTGATCATAGGAATAGCATCCTGAAATTACAGTCATTTTAATGAGAACATATTGATATAAATATGGCAAGTATATTTATTGCAACTAATTCATACACAGAATTCAAGTATGCCCTGGAAAAAAGAAACTACTATCAAGAGTAAAACCAGAATACACTCTAGCCTTATAACAAGAATTTCTAAAAAGTTTAGCATATTTCAAATTCACTGAATATTAACATTATCATACAGAATGTCAAACCCTGAACTCGGAGCACAATATTGTGAATGATACTTTCAAAGTAAACAGCTGTCATTTGGGTGACACACTGACTGAATAGTCCTAGACAAACACATAAACACTCTATGGAAATCAAGTGCAAGATTTTGCAATTTTAGCTTTTAACAGCTAGGCTTGAGCCTTAAGTTGACTAGGATTCTGCCAGGAATTTCATCCAAGTATTAAACTGCTACTGAAACAAGTTGAGTAAGTATCACAAATTGGCAGTAAACATTTTTTCCTCAAAAAAAATTATCCCTTTCTGTAGAGAGCAGGACACAAACATTAGCACAGTTTTGCTAGTAAAGCCCTCCCAAAATAAGCACACTAGTCTGTTTGTTTCCTGTTTATTTTTTCAATGTTTATCTGAGGAAAAAGGAAGAAAAAGTGGGGTTTTTTTATTTTTAAAGAACCCGTTCTACCATGACTATTGCAGGGAGCAGTTAACATTTACACAATTAACTCACTACTAAAATTTCAAATTAGAGCAGATACTTTCTTGAAATATATTTCAGAACTACTTATTAAATAGTTGTCACTAAAGGTTTATTTATGCATTTTTAAATATAAACACACAACTAATTTCCAGTAACTTTGAGACACTGTCCACAGCTATAACATCTAATATGGCTCTTCAGCTTTTGTCCATGGCAGCATTTCAGCTTAAAGAATTACAATTCAGTAATTCAGGCAATTATCAATTATCCGGTTACAATAAAATGCTATTTCTTTTTAGGATCACCTATTTACTTATAAGGTGAAGTTAAACTTTAGAGAGCAAATACCTGGTAGGAAAATAAGTATTTTCCTGAAACAGTTTTTTATGTTGAGAAGCATAGATTAAAAGTGGTATTTTACTGCAGACATTCAACAGGAAAGCAAGCGGTGGGCAGTAAGCAATATACACAAACTATTCAAAATATGAGGCTTTGTAATTATGAAGTAGAGAAGAAGGTTAAAAAGGAACTCTAACTCACATTAGTCTCAGGATAGGCAGTATCTCTCACATCCAGCTTGTTCAGAGGGAGGAAAGTAACCTCTCCAGGAAGGTTCATTTTGTTAAATTCCATTAGGATCTTTGTACTGACTTCATCAGAATCCACAATGTGATAAAATAACCTAATTAAGAAGTCCAACAAATAAGCAAGACTTTACTGTGTTAAAAGCACTAACATATGTGTATGGGAACAGTAAGCATGCAGGTACCATTAAATAATATATCAATATAAAGCTGCGTTGCATTTTCTTTTCAAGTCTGTGCCTCAGAATAAGCAAGTGGGTGAAACTCTATTCACTTTCATTAAAATGGGATCAGCCAAGAATTTTGCATTCCACCCTCCAGTCACAAGAGCAGCTCAATATGCACAGTGTCGCTGTGTACACGGCCTTTTTTGGTTCAACTGCAAATCCCTGTCCTCCATACCATGTCAATATACAACATTCAGCCTCTTTGCATGGATTTACAGAGTTTGCATCTTATGCCTCTGTACACAATCAACAGAAACAAAGACCACATCTATCTCCCTGTATGTGACTGGGATTAGCATCAGAGAGATTGAAATGATCTTTCTTTTGGAAGTCGAACTACAGTTTGCTTGTTACTGCTTTTTCCAAACTGCAGGACACAACAGGATTCAGAGAGAACTGCAAAGTACTTTGAAGAAACACCCTTGTTCACACAGCCGCAGATGTTTCAGATGAAGGACTGCATTTCAAATTGTGGTAGCATCCACATTTCTATGTGATAGTTGGCAAGTTCACATCACCTCTTGTCCTCTTTCCTGCCCTTATGCCACTATCTACGTTTCATTAGAACAAGAATTTGTATGACTACTTATTAATTGGAACAGGGGACTGATCACACAAAAAGACAATTTAAATTTATTTCAAGCATCAGATGCTGCAGGAATTGGCGGATCACCCAACAGGCACTTACTTCTTCTAGAACACACATTACACACAGACTCATTAACACTCCACACCTTTTCAGATAGCTTTCAAACAGCAGTTTTTGACAGGTTAGAGACCATCCTCACCCATGAGATTTTTCTTGTGTAAATAAATTAATTTTTATTGATTGTTATCATTGAAACATCAGCATTGCTTACTGTAGAATTCTCCACACCGGAAGATACTGTCCGAATTATTCAATATAGCTCAGTCTCACCACCAATCCTTCTGATGAATGTTAGGAGTGTGGGTCTGGGGCCTTTTTTGTGGGTTTTTGTGTGGTTTTGTTTTAGGGTTTTTTAGACAAGACCTAGAGCAGCTAGGATTATTTTTAAGTAGGTAGAATTCTTAGTTTCATCTCAAAGGAGTAGCACTTTGATCATGCTATATAGAAGGCACTTTGGAAAAAAAAAAAAAAAAAGGACAAGAACTCAAGTTCAAAAGAATAAAACTTTTCAGTAGCAACTTGCACCAACAACTGCAGCTGCTTTAACTTAAGTAACACTAAAGAGCGCGTAGTTACCTGTTCCCTGCAGTAACTTCAACACAGGTGTAGAAAGCTGGTTCACATTCAAAGTTATTCATCACAATGCCATGATAGCCATTTAGAACATGCTGGTTTATGCCTTTTCGACGGAAGTGCTCCAAAACTTTGTTTATGCTGTCTATACCATTCAAAATGGCCTGTTAAAACATAATTCATTATTATTATATATTAACTGCAATTAAAAGATGCAGACATAATATCCATTTTACCTTTAACTTTGTGAAAGTCATAACCTTTTTCACCTGCTAACAGCAGGAACTACAGCTCTAAAGGAAGATATCTAAGTATTTGAGTCCGCCACTTTCAGGGTGGGTTTGTTTTTTAGTTTTGGTTTGGTTTTTTCGGGTTTTTTTGTTGTTTTTTTTTTTTTAAAGCAAAAAGGTATCAGAAGAAATTTTAGAAGTATTCCATTTCTACTCTGTCTCCTTAGCTCTCCTCAATTACCTTGAGCTTACAAAATTAATTTCCAAGTAATTCTAGAGATACAGATATTTGAAAAATTCAGCTTTCAAATGTAATTTGTCCATCTAATTATAACAGTAAGACCATAACCAGAAGAAATATCCTTCAGATATGACTAGGACTTGTCCTTTAAGAATGAGAAGAAAAGCTTCCACAAGGAATTCTCAAATACAAGGTATCTTACCTTTCCTGTTGCTGCTCTAAGAAGCTGCTGTTTCTTTTCTAAATCCTCCCGCTTCGCAGCAAGAGCCTGTTGTTCTGCATTCTCTTCTCTCCATAAATAGCTAGAGAACAAAAATAATTAAAATATTTTAAGTGTGAATAAAGTCTGATTATTATTATTATTATTATTATTATTATTCTCCTCAAAGACCGATACTCTAATGGGCTGCCATATTGCAGAAGTTCATACATGGCTATATTTAAAAAACATACCTACATGCCATGTTAACAACTACACAGTTGGGGTCCTTCACATTAAGTGAGATTCAGACATATTTCAATTAATTACTAACTTTCTTTCGCTCTGTAGTTCATCCTTCTTATTTTTCACTTCGTAGTATTTTCTGTCCAGTTCTTCAACACGAGCCTTCACTTCATTAAGATCCTGGTCCAGTTTCTAACACAAAGAACAGAACAGTATGAAACTAGAGCTCATGTTCAAAAATCTTTCTCTTAACCGATTTACAATAAACTGCAAAAGCACTAAGATTAAATACATCTTTAAGGGAGCAGTAACAAGGTGAAGTTATCAAGGACTGCAAGGCAGGCACATAGTTGAACTGTGCATCTGGGTATTAACAGTGGCTCACTGCAAGTCACAGTAAGAAACTGAATCAAAACAGTAACTATCATACACATAACTATGTGTAATCATGCTCTGAAGTAACATTTGTGTTAAGAACACACATACTAGTCTTGCATACCGTGCCATACTGCTGTTAGTCAAAAATCTTAGCCAGCTCTCAAGCAGCGCTAGTACTTCACCACAGCTGCAGTCAACAGCCTGCTGTTTAAGCCAATGCACACAGCCTCCCCTTGCTTATTTAACACTGGCCATTTTCAAAGCAGCTCAGGGCTAGCACCCAGATAATATTTTTACAGTTATCTGTGTACAGGAGGACTAGATGTGTTCTCAAAACATAGCCAAGTTTTTCCAACCTAACTTTGCAAGCTCTCCATCATGTTCACCTAAGACACCTCCCCTTTGAACAAGAAGCTATACAACTCTTAGCCTAAGCATAAATTGACCTTCCTTAAGGAGAAAAAGCAAACCGAGATCTTTTTATAAAAGGAATCAAAGACCACCTCAAATTTAACCTCTTAAATTCTGTAGAATTCCTATTGAGCAGTACAGTACTATTACAAGATCAGTGGTAGATGCCATTTCTTTCATTCACCGACTCAGAGAATCATTAGGGCCACCAAGATGATCAAAGGACTGGGAAACCTGCCATATGAGGACAGGCTGAGAGAACTGGGTTGTTCAGCCTTGAGACAAGGAAGCTTAGAGGGGTTCACATCACTATGTACCAGTACCTAAGGGGTAGCCACAAGGAAGACGGAGACTCCCTTTTTACAAGGAGTCACATGGAGAGGACAGAGGGAATGGACACAAGTTGCTCTTGGGGAGATTCTGACTGGACATGAGAGAACAGTCAACCATTGGAATAATCTCCCCAGAGAAGTGGTTGACTCTGCCAAATTGGACACTTTTAAGACTCATCTGGATGGTGCTGGGCCATCTTGTCTAGACTGTGCTCTTAGCTAGAAAGGTTGGACTAGATGATCCTTGAGGTCCTTTCCAACCCAGGATTCTATGATTACTTTGCTAATGTGGGCCCCACCCAAACAGTATTTTAATAGGACACCATCATCTTTGTACAACTACATTCCTAGATTTTGTCAGACTGATCCTCGATTTTGGTAGATATATTGCACAAAGACTAAGAATGCTGTCTATCAGCACATGCAGGGTAATGGCACTGGCACTGGATGCTCTCCCACCGTAAGTGCAGGGATTTTTCAATCCTGTAGTTCCTTAGCAGGACTGATATTTTTGGATTGTACTGCTGTATTTGCAGTATAAGAGCTGATTCTGAATGGAAATTAAAATCTAAAAGTTATGCAGCTAATACTGGACAGATTAATCTTCTAACGTGAATATGGACACAACTTCTAACCAGCTAGCTGCAATTGTGGTACAGCACTTGCAGCACAGTTTTAAAAGATCTCCCATTTAGGGAAAAATTTAAAAGTGTGAAAATAACCAATGTAGACCTCTACAAAAACACAACAATTGTTATCTATATGAAATGGCCATGTTCAACATATTCAAGAGCAAGGCAGATCTGAGACTTTTCCTGAAAACTCAGGCCAATCACTTCAGAGAAAGCACCAGAAAGTAAGGCAATATATAGAGTGAAGTTAGACGCAGTGGTAAAGAGGATAAAGGTTATCTACAGATATTTTTCAATAATACATTTTTTAACAATTGCATACAAGCAGAAAGTCTCATCTTTCTTCTAAATAGGAACAAAAGCCTAATTGTCCATGATTAGATTGAGTGTTTAACCCTTCTCTCAAAAATACTGAGAAGTAATAAGCTGAAAACTTACACTGTACTGTTCCAAATTTTTCTCCTTGTTTGCCTCTGTATCCTCTAAATCCTTGTGAATAGCTGCAATCTGCCGCTTCTTGTCATTGATGGCTTGATCTAAAGACTTTAGTTCTTTCTTTATCCACTTATCCCTTTCTTCTTTGGAAGTAAACTGGCTTCCTCGACCTTGTTTTGCATAAAGATCTGTTCTTTCCTGCGTAGCCTGTGCAAGTCTATTTTGAGAAAGGAAAAACATGCTGTATTATAAAGAAACTTTGAATTTTTTAAGAGCAAGAATTAATAATTACCACGAGAATTTTCAAAAAGTGTCAAACCAGGCTCTAAAATATAAGCACCAAATCAGTAACAAAAAGGATGTTATAAACGGTAAAATCACCTAGACTTCACAAAACAAAGTCGACAAGAGCCCACAAAAGTGGTTAAGCTTAAGAATTAATTTCACCAAATACTGTGTCCCCTACCCCCCGCTTCCCCAACAGTAAAGGAGGCTTTTTACAGACCACCTGTAAGTACATACAGCTACCCTATTTCTCAAGCAACAAGTACAACTCCAAGTTAATCGCCCATATGCATAGTGCGGATAGTATCTTGGGAGGTTTTTTTAAATGCTTTGGACTCCAAGTTGTAGATTGCCACAGACCTAGCAATTCCCCTCTCTTCTTTTTCTTTTACGCTGTTGAATTTCGGCTCTGTTTCTGCTAATTCTTTCTGCTTCTCCTCAATTTTCTCAAGAAGCTTTTGCCTCTCTTTTAACAGTCTTTTCTGAAAGTCAAACAAAGCAGTATTTGAAGTTAGGTAATATCAGAAACTGTGTTATGAGATAAATACACACTTCTAAAGAATGATTCAACTGTAAGATGCAACTGCTTATCTGATACTACACTGTTTCAACAGAAGTGAATTCAGTTCCAATCAGGACAGCAAAGAGGGATGAAATGTAGCATTCTCAAGCAGTTAAACTACGCAAGCAAGGAAGGTCTGTACGGGCCAAATCACCAAGTTCAAATCAGTGCTACAAACAAAACCTGCCTTCCCAATACTTGCAGCAGTTAAAGTCAAGAGAATTATAGGGGCTTGATTTTGCAACATGCAGGATGATAAATAAAGGATCATAACACAGGAGTCTATGTTTACATCCCCTAGAAGCACACTAAAGACATCATAAAAAAACTAAGATATCTGTCCAGCAAACCTTAGAAAATAACAAAAGGCTGCAGCCTCAAACCAACACTTCAATGTACAAGTATACTACCTTGTGCCAATGACATTTTAAGACTTCACCATTGTTACATACCCTTTGTTCACTGTTGCCAGCTAATTCATCCTGCAGGTCTTTAGCCTTCAGCTCTAATTTAGTCCTCTGTTTAATCTGCTCCTGTCTTTCAGCACTAAGTTGTTCCTTCTCTTCTTTCATTGCTGAAATCTTTGTTTTCAGTTCTCGAACTTGCCGTTCTATTTCCTATGCAAATTTAAATATGTAGTATCTTAAAAACTGCACACATATTCCAGTATCTATCAAAACTCACAAGATCATTATTCTATAGATCAAGACACGCTAAAAGTGTGAAAAACTTCTCCTGTTTCCAAACCAGATGAAAACATTCAATTAAATTTAACACTGTCTTAGAACACCATTAGCACCCCACCCCACTAAAAAAAAAAACCACAAAAGCAAAACACACCCCCAGAGAGCCCTCGCTAGAAGTATTTTTACCTCCATTTTATCTCTAGCATCTTGCTGCGCATCTCTCAGCTGCCTGGATTTCTCTCCACTTGTCTCTCGTTTAGCAGAAAGCTGTATGGAAACATCACCAATAGCTTAAATAGCAAGATTCTGTTTTAGTAGTAGTTCCAGAAAGAAATTTGTTACATTAGTGAAGAACATTGACAGGATTCTATCAAGAAACACAAGGAGACATTAGCAAAAAGCAAATCAACAGCTCACATTATGTTTTGTACTAGCCAAAATATTTTACCTCATCAAGCTTAGCTCGGGTTTCATTAAGTTCCTGATTATAAATGGTGTATTCTAATGCTCTCCTCATTTTATCCCACTTCTGGTACTGAGCCAGCTCTTCTTTCTCTTCTTCTAGGGTATGCAGTCGCTCTTCAATGTATTTCAACAACTCATTGATCTTCTCTCGCTTGCCCTCTTTAGAAAAGATGACAAGACTGAAGTTCAGTTAAACACCATAATACATCCCCACAACTCTAAAACGACTGAATCTCCTCCAGTGATTAACTATTTGTCAACAGCTACAAATGTGAAAAGGAGAACCCATATGCAGAAGTCCCCCCCAAAACATCCTATCAGCAGGGACTATTGATACTAGTTATGTAAGGTAACACAAGCACTCTTTTGGTTCACACTTAAACTCACACATGACTATACGACATGAACTTCAGTTTGCATAGCGGTAGGTATCCTGATTTTTGGATCATTGCCAGCTGATCGCACTCATGTTTTGAACAGTACAAATATCCCTATTAGCCCAGCTAAAAAGTTTTATTACTATAAGCACACATGAAGTCACTTAAACCTTTTGAGATATTTAAATACAGGGAGGAAACATTACATGCTCTGTATCATTTAACATACCACAAATAAAATCTATTTAGTAATTAGCTTTACTGAAAAAGCCATGAAACTTTAGAGTTAACAGAATTATTGTGGCATAAAACATTAGTTTCTTAAAGTATTTTTACCTGTTTCTTTCATTAGTGAAATACTTTCTTCTTTACGTTCATCGTACACTCTGGTACCAGCTACTTCTCTTAGTAACTTCAGTCTTTGAGAGTCAGGAGCTGTGGCCATCTGGTTGATCTGAAAATTCAAGATCTATGATTTCAGTAGCCTGCTCTGGATGTATGGCTAACCACAATAGATCAAAGATTGCACTTTTTTTGCTGTGCCTGCTTGCCTGAGGTTTTGGCAGAAAAAATCAGATACCTAGTATACGCCATACTGCTTTTCTTTTGAGACAGTTACTTCAGGATGGCAAGCATTCTCCTTGTAATGAATTTTGTTGGTTTTCAAATGCTACCACTTATTGCTAAAACTCAAGATACTAGTATTACATAAACGGAAGAAATCATTCCCCACTCAAAATTACGTTTAGAGAAACTCAAGCTTGGGCTTTTTAGTCCTGGTGCTAAACCAAATAGTTTAAACACCTCCATAAACCACACCAAAATGCAGGGGTTCTACATCTTAGAATAATTCAGGTCATGAAACACCCATTAATCCAACATTAAATCAGTCATACAATTAAACCCGACAAAAAACTCACTTTCCGTCAACAGAATTTCAGTAGTTGCATCCTTTTGTAAGAAGGCAACTGTTTCTAATTTGTATTTTATTAAAACCAGTGTGTGTACTTTGGCTGTGAGATTCATGTGCACCAACCCCCACTACAAAACACAAGTCACTTTCCAGCTGAAGTTTTTTCTTCCAGATACACAGGTTCAGCTGTATAGGAAAGTTCATCCTGATAACCATTTGAGAGACTGTACTGCTGCATCAGCATATCTGCTATCAAGTACTCCTCAAGTCCCCTGCATTCCCCTTTTAAGCAATGCCTTTCAGTAACCTTTTGGAGCTGACAGTTATCAGTGTCTCCAAGGCGCCCCACCCTGTGAGCCATTACAGGTAATCTGTTCTTTGTCTCCAGATCCGGGTGTCCTTCCAAAGCTCTGGTAAGGGTGCTTGGGTCTTGAAGACCAGTTCAAATAAGCCATGCTGTAGGCCATTTCCCTGCTATGTGTTCACTTCTGTTGCTTCCACATGTTCCCATTCATCCTCGATTGACAGTAGTTTTAGCCTCTTAAAATTCTCTACAATTAGTTTACTGCCTTAAGGCAGTCTTAAGGCCCTGAAAACTATGGATTTACACTGAAACAGTCAGAGGAATAAAGACTGCAAAGATTACCATAAAAAAAGCTTTTCTAAATATCAACATTACAGACATTGAAACTTTTCTTAAAATTGACATAAACTACTAAACCAGTAATATTTGCAAAAGCACCATCTACAAGAACTGTTTCAAACTAAAATGGATTTAGGTTTTGGTTTACTTCTGCAATAGTTGAACTAAGCTTGGCATCCAGGAAACATGATACTCTTGACAGTGATTTCTTACACTTTGTGAAAAAGAATCTTACCTTTCCTTGTTTGACAATATAGTAGGGATTACTGCGAGAAAATCCAGCACTTTCAAGAAGATTCATCACATCATTTTTCCTGAAATGTTATTGTGATTCTATTAAACACTTACAGTAAGTGACAGCTGTAAAAATTCAGTAAAGTATCACAGTTATACATCACATACTATAATCACTGTGTGCAATGCATGCTGTGTTTGAAGAAGCTTCTTTATTTGATAAATAGCTAACTGAAATGAAATAATAAAAATGGAAAATATCCAAAATACTACAGGATTGAAAAGAGGTTAAGAAAGAAGCACCTTGAAGCAAAGAGGAGGCAAATACAGGTAAAGATATCACATGGAAGGATATGAAACAACCTAAAGTCTGTTAACTCTTCTATTTAAAAAAGCCCTGAAAGAAATATTATATAAGCAGTTAAACACCATGTTAATAAATGCATTAAACTATACATTCAATGTGCTGTCTACTGCACAAAGACTAATGTCCTTTCTGTCAAACTACTGGTACTCAGTATTGCATAACTAAATTAGCATTGTTCATGGAACTCATGAGAATTAATTTATTTCAGGCTAGAGATGCAAGTGTTCCGTGTGACTAGAGAATTTTACGGAAATACTACTAGTCTCAAATATGGAAAAGAAGTACCTACGTCACCATTTTCTTGTCTAAGAAATATTGGTCCTTCTTGGCTCCAATGACTCTGCGAAGTGAGACTTCTTCTTTATCAATCTTAAGAAAAAAAAAAAACCACAGTAAATCTAACTGCTTGCATTAGGTATGTATAACTAATTCAGAATGTTATGGCACTTTTTTACCAAAACTGTCTCAAAAGCAGTCACCGTACTGAAGATTTCTGTAACACTCAGATACTGAATCTGAAGTGATCGTCTATTGCTGAAGTATTCAACTTACCGGTAACCTGTTGTCCGAATTGTCAAAAATAATTTCCACAAACGCCGAAATAACACGAGGACCTGTACCTTCCTAAGAAAGGAAATAATTTGGTTAGATAATTCCCACCTTACAAGGATTTTGAGATCATTCATCTCCCGTTTTCCCTGACAATCCCACTTCCCCTTTTCTTTCAAGGATTTAAGAGTCAAGAGCGTCTATGTAAGACCGAGGACATACATTTTTATTTCTGAATATCTTGGATACACATTCACCAATGTGCATTACCAGCATAATGTATTATTTTGTAATAAATTCCCTTTTGCCAAAGGATAACAGAAAGTGTTTAAGGATGCTTCCAAAATAATTGGCTTAAAATATCCACAGCCCAGCAATTTACCATTTTTATAGTAACATTGAAATGCATTAGCTTATTCCTTAGTCTTGTTGTTATACACCCTCACTTACATGCAACAAAGCCAGTCTCTGCTCTGGGCGAAGATGACTGAACTCATCACTGAGGACAAACTGAATTGCTGTAATAAAATAGTAAAGAAATGGAAAATTTATTCTTTCCTTTAGGGAGTATGCAGCAGTTTCTTTAACTCAAGATACACTGCTTTACTGTTGTATAGTACAGTCAAGCTGCTGCTAATATCTTACAATGTTTCCTCATTAAAAACCTTAATCTACTGGATCTTTATCACTCAGCCTGCTGTACATTAGAATTTCTCTGAATAAGTCACATTGTCACCATCTTATTAGTTCACTGTATAAGCATTAACAGTGCTGCCCAAGCAGGGATTGATGAGCTTTCCTCCCCCAATACATAGCACACAGGCTAGGTTAAAAATATTGCTCAAATACTTAACACTTGGCAATTTATAAAGACTACCATCACAAAGGCCACTAACACTTTTGACTATCAGCTTTGCTCCTCCACTGATGCTCCCACCCCAGAAAATTCCCCTCGTAACCCTACATTAAAAGGCTCTATAAGCTGTGCCATACTGCTATGGAATCAGCTTAGAATTTAGCCACTAAGAATGTCTAAAATAACTGCAAATATCGCAATCAGTTTTCAAGGTGGGTGACTTCTAGAATCAGTTTCCTGCCGGAAATACTTTTGCCATTAAAAAAACCATCTTAGAAGACCCTTAGTAAGAGAAGCCAAATACTGGGGAAAAAACCTGAAGGTAAGTATTAAACAAGTGCATTGAGATCTGCCTTTCATCACTGTCAAGTAATGACCAATCTGCTCTTTGTTGAGCAGGAACAGCTGGTAAACCAACTTCTAGCAAAAACAAACAAAACAACCTGGTAACATCAGCATCCCCATGCTACTGCATTACAAAATCCATGCTTACCATAAAAAAAGTTGCTTTTTCCAGATCCATTTCTTCCCACTGAAAATTAAACACAAAGTATGACCTCAAGTTGACATGAGTTAAAATTGCAATGTACATTAAATGTTGCATATAAATATTCAAGAACAGAACCCAAATATAATGCAGCCAAACAAAATCTCAAGGGAAGGAGACAAACTTTGTAGGTGGATCACTTAGTCATTGTCTGAGAACAAGAGAACATACCTTTCCCCACTCAAACACATTACAATGACTTAAGAACTCCAACACTATTCCACAATGAAAATAATGGTTAAACCAATGCTATTTATTCCCATCCTTTTCTTTATAATTCTGATCTCCTGGTAGGATAAAAACAGTAATCCTAAATCCAGTTCTTCTGGTCCCAGCATCAATTTTTTATATTTAACAAAAGGAAATCACTTGCCTGTATGAACTTCTGGTAGGGTACAAACTTCTTAATATTCCACTTACTAATTCTGCAATGCTTTGTTTTAAAGAGACTGGAAGAAGTACTATCTCTATTTAAAAAGCAAAGGTATAAGAACACTGCACTACACTATCATCCAGTGATCTCAGTGTTCATTCCAGTGGTTCAGCAAGGCTCAGTGCCTTATCTTTAAGATCAGCACCTACTGTATTAATTTCAAAACAGCTTGCCTTCCAGCAGCAATGAGCATCCCAGGTTTTTCATCCCTTCCTGACTATATGCCCTCCAGATTCACCTCATCCCCAAAACTACCTGGGATTGCTATGAGGTCTTTAATCAAAAGATAGTGAAGCCAGATTTTTTTTTTCCCTTTTAGAAACACTAATACCTGGATAAAGTTCTAGCTCCCCCTGAAGTAATATTACATAATAAGACATGCAATTCAAGTCATATGCACGTTTTTTTTCCAGTCTCAGAGTAAATCCTGGCTATGAAGTTTTTATGTCCAAAATTGACTGTCTTCTGCTGCTACCGCACAATCACTAAAATCAATGCAAATGAAAAGGCAGGGCCAGGCATCCATGAGCAAAAGTAGGAAGAGGCATGAGAACGGTGGATAGTAACACGCTGTTAGATTAGGTATCACTTACGAAACTACACTTTGAAACATATATTATACTTTTTGACAGTCCACATTCCAGAAATTCATTCCTCCAAAGCTGGAAGAAGGAGGATCATCTCTGCTGCTGTTCCTACTGGGACAGCCTTTAAAGGTGGTCTGGCCGATACAGATATTTGCACATATGAAGGAGTTTACAGACCTCACTCCATTTCTGAAGTTTCAGATATACTATTGTCATAGTAAAATTGAATGCTAGCATTACTTTGCTATAAGTGGAATATACCTTGTGGCAGGTTACAGACAACTGTAAAGAAGTTTTCAAAATAGAAAATAAAGTCATCAAATGTAGGCAGAATATTAAAAACTATAAAGGGCTTCAATGTGAACATCATCTGAAGTAACAGTGCAACTCTAGTTAGTGTTAAAAGACAAGTATCAGAACTTACCAATGACATTGTGTTTTGAGCTGAATGGGTCCACAATGGTTTGGTCCCTGTAGCTTCTAAAGCCCTGAATGATTACCTAATGAGAAGAGCGAGTTATTTTAACAAGGTTCCCTCCATTCTTGAGCAGTTTTTGAACTGTAAGATATTACAGAATATTTACATCAATTATAATATGCTTTACTTCTCCTGCCCTTCCTGCACACACTTCAATCTTCCAGCTCCACATCAGCAACTTAGATCAGAAAACTTGCCCCTCACCTAAGCATTGCTTTAGGGACAGATTTTTCTCCCCACTTCACAAGAGATGCTGGTACTTATCTAGGCCAAAGCACAGTGAACAAGAGAGTTCTGAGAGTCTTTGTGTAACCACTTACACAAAAAAGATGTATTTGCATCAAATATTACATACAGGAAAGAAAACTCCGATATACCAAGCACTTATCCTAGTTGGGCCAGATTTGTAGTTAAATTTTATAATGCAATCCACATACAGCGTAAGAACGCTATTTGCAAATTCTCCAAGTAGAGCAATTGCAGACTGCAAAAACTATACCAGACTACCTATTTTACATGCAATACAGTCTTCTTTTGCTTTACTCTGCAACCTAAATAGAAAAGTAAAAAAATCACGCTATCTTGGTTCTAGTGAATTCACGTCCTAAATAGACAAATACAAACCTACACAATTAACTTCAGGAGCCAAACAGTCATCTAGAAGCAGCATGTCAAATTCCAACTATTCACTTTCAGTGGTGATTTGAGGCTTGCCAGGCCAAGTAACATCCAAGGTACAGAGTAACAATACCCCAGTATTTCAGGGGTTCTGTGCAGCAGCAAAACTGATCCAACTTCCAGCATGCACATTCCAGCATTAAGCAACCTTTCCCAAACATTAAAGCTGCACTGAGAAACTATATGGAAGCTTTGCTCTGCTCAGTAAGACATCAGAAAGACAGCGGCCACCTGAAAAGTTTTGATGTTTGCAGATCTTTCAGCAAACACACTTGCAAAAGGACTAGAGCTGACATTTAATCATTATGTCCTTCTCCCAGCAGAAGCACGATATTGTTACAGTCACCATGATAGCTATCATAAACTAAGAATTACTTGTTAGGAACACAGCAAAACATCTTACAAGATATTCCTCAATAAGACGACTGCTGAAGTTTAGAACGTGAAGTTATTTAGACTGTTTTGTTTGTAAGGTCTATGGTCCCATCACCATTTTCTATTTTTCTGAACATGTCATCCATTCTCTCACAGCTTCAAGTATAAAAATAGCCCAAGTTCCAGAAGATGCGCATAATGCTTAGGATCTGAGATGCACATAAAAGACTCCAGCAAAAAGCCTAGAAGTAATACATTAAAGCAGGCCTTTTCCCCCACTACCAAAGCCTATATTGACTGCACACCTGAGCACAACTGAAGAAACAATTGCCTTCAGAACCACATTCATATGCTGCAATATTCTGGTAGCATGTTACACAAACATCAGAGAAAAAAATCCTGTCCATAAAATTTACAGGACAAAAGACTGGGAGAAGAAAGTGTCCTGATTTATTCATGTCAAGTTTGGTCTTAAGTCTTTCTCCCACTATGCGACAACCCATTATCAAGGATTATCATAGAAAACTCCTCTTAGCACCTGTTCAAACTAATGGATTAAAACAATCTCACTAATACTAAGTGAAAATGCCATGTCAGACAGCAAATGAAGCACTTGAGTTTAGGAAAAATGGAAATAAAACTTAAAATGCATTAACTAACTTTTAGTCAGAAATCACAGTCATTCTCTTCCCAGGCACTACATCTTCCTTGTCAAATCCTCTTTGCAATATTACTTCATTACTGGAATCTGAAGCCAAGAATATGGGTAGGCAGAAAATTACTAATTCTTGCCCATCAAACATCAGATCTAAGCAACAGCAGCTATTTTGGAAAAGGATAATCTCCCACTTCCTCCAATACTTTGCTTATCTAAACCTTTTACAATTTGCAAATGTCCTCGGGCAAGATACAATTCTCATTAAGTACCTGCACTGTATTCAGATCTAAATCCAAAGCAACTGTATTGCAAGTAACTAAGGATTTTGGAATGTAACGAATCAAACTACAGAAAGCAAGTTTAAGACAATGTATTAACTGAAGACTACCTAGTCACCGTGGCTGTGAACACAGACCCCCACCACCACCCCCCAAGAAACCAGTCTGCCTCATCTGCCAGATGGAGACTTTTGCAGTAATAGCAAGCTCTGCCTCAGTACCAGAGGCTTTCAAAGAAAAACAGGAACAGCAAATCTTACTTGGGTCTTGCCACCAACTCTAGGCCACAGCAACTATGTTCACTCATTTTCAAAAATAAATAAAAATGAAAAAAAACCCCACAACATTTGACAAACAATGCTGCTTTCCGATTCACCAGATTTCAAGAAGAAAAAAAAAAATGAATGTGCCAAAAAAATTGGTCTTTAGTACCTTTACAGTTTACCTACAATATTCTAAAAACATACAGATTGTAATAATTAATCTACTTTATTCTCATCAGAACCCGAAAGCCTCTACAAAAAACTACCAATCGTTATTTCTTGGATATTACCACAGAAGCACAAACTTTTACCACCCACATACTCAGGCACGACAAGAGTATGATACAGGCAGACTCTGAACACCATTTTCCTCTGCTCTCAAAGTTTTTTCCTAGATGGCTTCTAACTTCATCCATCTACATATTCTGAAACATTGTAACTTCTTTATTGCCTTGTATAACCTTGGATTAAGACTTAAATAACTTTAATTTTCAAAATCCAGGAATGATTTCTGGGAAGCAACAAAGTAAGTGATACTGGTGGAACCAAGTTCATCCTCATCTGTTTTATTTTCACGTTCACGCCTTGTTATGCTCTTTTCTATAGCTCCGAGAACAGTATTGATTATTGACCACCTACATTTTTTTTCCCAGATGAAACTCATGTCCCCTGCTCCGACTTAATTTGGACATCTTACTCTGATTCTATGCATCTTCACTACTGTTTACTTTTGTGCAACTTAAATCTGGAGAACAAGAATTCTTATTCAAAAACTTTAAAGCCATGTGTGCACCTGCAGTGATGGAGTGATTTACTAAAACACGAGCAAAAGGTGTTTGAAACACTCCCTAGTCGTCCAAACAGCTGATGAAAACCTGATTTCTATGTAGAACGTGCACTTTCAAACGTGAATAAAATATTTTTAATAAAGCCACCCGTAGGCTGTCAGAAAGCCAGGTAAATTTTGAGTCCAGGGAGAAATGAGAATCCTGGCAGGCTTTGTATGAACATGCATAGGCAGCGATATGAAAGCAGCCATAAAAATTAAACCATACTGTGCGATATACTGTGCAATACGACTGCAGGAATGTACTACAGAAGTAACATTGACAATCGCCTCAGTCTTAAAAACTGTTGGGAAAAGGTCCATACAAGGCCCTTCTTTTTAACTGAACGTTAGCTGTAGATCGAGCGTCGAGGATGAAGTACAATAGGTTAAATGGTCCATGCCCAGGGGCCTAAGGCACCACCCCCAATACGAACAGTAACTGTTGTTTCTCCCGGGAGAAGGGGCAGACAGAACCAGTTTGAATTGAAACCCCAAATACAGTCACATTTCCCCACCGAAACCGCAAGCAGATTTTAAAAAAAAAAAAAAAAAAAGTAGAAGAAAAGAACCCACAACTTTAACAGGTGAAAGACGCCGCCTGACAGCTGAGGAGAGCCCCTTGTTTGTGTACGAGCCCCGCGTGGGGACCAGCCTCCTGGCCTTGGGTCGGCCCGCGACTGGAGGGCCGAGACGGCTGGGCTGCCCCCTGCAAAGGGTCCCCACAGAGCCCGCGAACAAGTCCCGGGTCCAAGAGCCTCTTCCC